GAAGAGAATGCTGTTCACCACATCATCCACTTCTGGAATCAAATACAGAGAACATCCAATGCACCCCTCAAATTGTACTAGAAAAACAAGCATGGTATGCCTTTGACCTCTACATTTAATTGGAGGTCCCCAAACTGTGCTTGATGCAGTACACAGGACAGTGTGGCTGAGAGCTGGACATCAAAAAGTCCTTGTTGTGATCAAATGATACTTAGTTCACAGCAATCACCTATGCTCCCCTCCCAGTCATATTTATGAACAATAAAGTGCACTTCACTTGTCCTAAGATGAGATGGCTGTAGAAGAGGGGAGATAAAGTTGATTCTCGCCCTGTCCTCATCAAATGCTTCAGGAATTCAACGACAGCCATTCAGCACAGTTGTGATTTTTCCCACAGAAGCAGCAAGGTATCTATGGCTGTGATGCCAATTAGAGGGAAGGCTTGGATACACAGAAGAGCCCAGCCTGGCAACGAATCTACACCACTGACCTGCAAACTTTCCCAGCGGAATGCGATTAATCATGGCAGCAGATTTCTGAGGGTCACTCCAGTTAATTCTCCCCATGTCGGTCATAACCACTGTGGGGTTCACAGTGTTCACCCTAATCTGGGACCAAGAGCAACAATCAATCTAACGAGACTGCTCTGAGAGGAAATGTTCAGATTCAGCTTTCACACTTTTCTTTCTCTCAGAAAGAATCCTACCTTGTGGGGTCCCAGTTCCATTGCCATTACCTTGCTCAGCATATCTAAAGCACTTTTTGTGGAACCTTTAAGGGAAGGGAAAAACAGGAGGCATTTAAGTGCATAGCACTTGGTCTGGAACACACAGAAGTATTTCACTGCCCAGAATTGGCAGCTAGCAGCTTGGTGGCTGTGGGTCTCCAGCTAATCAAAAAATGAGAGGGGCACTGCTAAAGCTACACATACTTACAGTAAACAGCATGATCCCGCAGAGCACGCTGAGATGCCTGGCTAGAGACATTTACAATAGCACCTGGCACCCCCTGTGCAATCATCTGCCGAGCAACAATCTGGGAGGGGCAGAGAACAAAAAAAAAGGGATGCCAGAATCGTAACAGGAGAAATCATTATTTCATTCAGTAGGAATCTTGCTGGGCTATTATGGTAGCCAAAAGAGCAAAAACATCTGGAGGAAATAAGTCCTCACTGCCTCCCATTTACAAGAGAGAGAGTCAAAGCAAGAGAGTGAAGGGGCTGTATGCGCAAATTGCCAGGTTACCTTTGGATTATAATCCCATTAGCCCCGACAGTGGACACTTATCTCCGCTGTGCAGGACAGCTTGGTCACTGCTGTTCATGGGGACAACTGCAGTGACAATTCTTCCTCACCTGGGAAACATGAAGCACAGCCCGAAGATTCACATCAAGAGACCTACAAATAATCAAATTTAAAAGTTACAGAGTGGTTGCAGCCCAGGCCAGAGAGGAGTTGTTTTGGGAGGCAGCAGAGGACAAGTGCTGCTGGTATCTTGGAAACACTGGTGATGCTCTAGAACATGGACAGAAATGCCAAGCTGACTGGCCAGCAAGAATGATTAGGCATGCTTTCAGCAATAAACCGTTCATTGGATGTAAGCTATTTAGTGTGCAGAGGGGAGGTGCACTCATGCATCATGACATTTCTAGCAGGACTCAGCTTTTCTTCTACTTGCCACATAGTCCTTCCTTGGTCAGGTTTTTACCTGCTAGTTCTGCAGAATGGTCTTAGTAGAATCCATGCATTTTATATTCTAATCACAAATGAATCCTTTATTATAGACCCACAATAGCCATTCTTAAGGTAGGGACAAAGCATGACCCATCTTCTCAGAAGGAAGTAGACTCACCATATCCTGTATCCTAAAGGTTACCCACAACTGAAACTATGGATCTTCTGAGAAAAAAAGATGTCATGTTATTGCAGTAAGCAAATTTAATTTCCCACTGTGACAGTTTTACCTTCCCTTACCTGGCTTTGTCTTTTCTGTATCTGAATTGTCTTATTGACAACTGCCTTTCAATTTAGCAGAGACTGAGTCGGAGCTAGACTGGAAGCTCAGAGCCTGATTAACAGCAAAAGGCGCTCTTCTCTCCTGCATAGGCTGGATGGTGTGTGCACACCACCATCTCAGAGGTGAAATTGCAGGTTCTGGCTACTCAGTGTGGAATAGCGTCAGTGCTTTACTTGGTTTCCGTTTGATGTTTACAGGGTGAAAGGTGATTATGTAAAGTATTAAAACACAGTAAAGAAAAGAAAGCAGACATAAGCAGTAACAATCAACAAACCACTGAGAAAGGGAACGTCAGGCTTTTCTAAAAGCCTGCGCGTCTGTGTCGGGTGCCTGTGCACCAGCTGCTTCCTTTCGTAAGAGACGCCAATTTCTGGAAAGCTTTGCCACCGTTTTTGGCGTTCGCAGTGTTGCCACGGCGCAGCAGCCGGCACCTCGGCCCCGAGCAGAGCCGAGGGCAGCGGGCAGGGG